AAAAATTTGTTGCGAAAAAAAAAAAAAAAAAAAAAAAATGTCTGCACAGGGGCTGGTAGGGAGCCTGTTCTTTTGGAAGAAAACCTAAACTCATTTTATGAACAGTAATCCCATTTAAGCCGATGATTTTTTTTTTACTTGCTAAAGGATTGCAGGATGATGTCTAAGCAAAGCATGTGACACATTTCTGCAACTATCTGTGGCGGTCTTTCGAACTCTTACTACCAAGTGTTGTAAGTGTGTTCATAATGTAAGGATTATCCTTGGCAGTAATTGTTCACAAGATATGACCCATAGTTTTAATCACTTCATGCATTGCTGCCATGCGAGTGACTTTTGTGCTTTGCAGAGTCACAGGCACAGAGCTATTAGAGATGTCAAAGCCCCATTAGGTCACAAAATCGATGGCCCTGGGGCCAGGTCAGTGCGTCTCTTCCCCATATTTGCAAAATGTCTTCCCTGTGTGTGTCCAGTGCAGCTGAGATTCTTTTCTGTCTCTTTTCTCTAGGATGTAAGAAACACCTTGAGCAGGTAGGTGTCTCGCACTCCTGTCATACTGCACAGCGCAGGGAACGAGCTTGGAGCTGATGTTGGTACCGCATCTCCCCAGGGCTCTACAGCCAGATGTTGGATAGAAATGTCTCTGAGTCACTTAATTCTGAGGGTCTCACGAGGCGTACAGCTAGTTCAGAATAGGAAGCCTAGTCCGAAGTAGCTAGTCCCTGCCGTGTGTAGCCGCACGGCACGGAGTCCGCACTAGCGGACCTTTAAAAATGGCGGCGCCCGGCAATATGCTAATGAAGCCCGGGATATTTATATCCCGGGCTTCATTTGCAACTTCAGTTGCCTACATTAACCACCCTAGTTAAATTGCCTTCCCCGTGTGGGCTGTTTGGAGACCTGTGTGGAAGGAGCAGGGGAGGGAGAAGCTGGTGTCTCAGTCTGGTTCCTAGTGGGCAGATTCCTGCAGCCCTTCACCTGGGAACATCCTGTCCCTCAGCGCTTGGAGGCCAAAGAGAGAATTAGCCATTGAGACTCAATTCCACTTTTGTCCCCAGCTGGTCTCTCCGGGCCAGAGGTGAAGAACAGCAGTGGGACTTTTCAGGGGAAGGTTGCACAGCCATGGACTGTGTTGCCCCTGCTCTCAGGCTGGGGGAATTCAAAGAATTCTAACTCCAGGCCTGTTAGAGCTGAGACTCGCTAGCCAAATCTTATAATCTGTAAATGAAATGGAATTGTTTCTGTCCAGGTGTGAGACGGGGCAGTTCCAGCTGCCAGAGGAGATTTCCCCTGAACTGGAAGAACAAGTCAATGCTTTCTCCCAGAAAACAATTGCTCTGTCGGAGACTGAGGGAATTCAAAGGTACCTAGAAGGGATGGATGAGGGGAAAGTTGTTTAACTATTAGAAACTATTGAATCTGGCCTCTGAAGCCAACCTTCCCCTACCTCAATTCCCACGTGGAGAATGACGGCCCCATCATGCTGCTCTCCTTAGAGGCACTGAGCAAACAGAGTCAAGTGCTTGCAGATAGAGCCAGGGGTTTGCAAACTCTGAGCCTCCTGTTAGTGTCAAGGGATCCAAATAGCTAAAGTGAATGTCATGGCAATATCTTCTCCCAGCACACCTCTAGGTTATGCCAAGAGGTGGTAAGTGACTGAGAGAAACCAGGTGGGAGGGGATGAGGAGGGAAAAGTAAATCTCACTTTCAGTTTGTGTCTCCTGGTGCGGGGATGAGGCTGCAGAGATGTTGGCTCCATTGCTGGGAGGTGCCCAAGTGAGAGAGGACACAGAAGGTTTCAGACCTTTTCATGCTAAACACTTGTCTGGTCTCTGATACAATTGAAACGCAGAGTTCAGCACAGGGACATGATTACACATAGGAGAGCCTGGAATCTCACCTCTCTTATCCCTTTCTCCACCACACACTCTCCCCTCTGCACTGGAGAGAGCAAGAGGAAAATCCCTGGGAGCTTTCAGACAGGGTGAGTTTGCTGGTGGAAATTCTTTAAATGATGAGAAAATTCCTGTGATAACATCTTCATGGGATTGTCATTGAAGTTACCAGCCAGAAGTTACCGGCGAGCACAGCCCTAAACCTCACCCACTGATCAGTGAGGAGCCCCTTGGGCACTGCATGGGGACCTGCAGACTCTTTGAGAAACACTGATCTATGAGGTGTGATGCTAAATGGGTGAAGTTAAAGGACACAACAGACGGCACCTTCAGGCTCAGATTTCACTGCTCAGTCAGTTTCAATATGGGGTTGGTTTCAAACAATATAGAGGCTGAAAAGCTGGGAGCTGTCTGGCTTCCACGGTATCAGTTTGTTCATGGTGAGAAATTGCTGGATCCCCACGGGCTCTTCGGTCTAGTGCAGGCCTGGGCAAAATACAGCCCATGGGCCAGATCTAGCTCGCCAGGCCATCGGATCTGGCTCACTGATGCTTGGCGAGCAATGGGCTAGTTCCGTACTTGCCACTTCCCACCTCCAAGCCACTAAAAGTGAAGGTGAGCCCGGAGGTGAAGCGGGAAGGCTATAGGCACTGCTTCCATCCCTAGGACAATCTCATTGGCTGGTTTCTGGCCAGAAAGGAAGCACCGTGCCCTCTCCCCTCCGGTTCATAGTTATTCACACACCCACATAGCCCCTGCAGCCTTTGCGAGGGTTGGGCAGGCTCCCTGCCTGCCTCAGAGAGGTGCTTGGCTGCTGGTCGGGAGTCACTCAGGTAAGTCTCCTGGCCAAAGCCTGCCTCTGGCACCCTTACCTCTCCCTTCCCCTCCTAATTCTCTGCCCCCTCCCACTCCTGCCCCCCACTTCACATACCCAAACTCTTAGTTCTCTTCCTGTATTCAAGTATGCAGGAAGCTCTTCATGGCCAGAAACCCTCAGCCCCTTATTTGCCCACTCAACCACTTCTCTAAATTAACTTTTTTTTAAATATCTCATGAGTAGTTGGCTAATTCAGTGCCCAGATCACACCTGCCTCCTTCACCCAAAGTCCTTCCCAGACCCCTTTCCCTCCTGCATCCCAAAGCCTCACCCAAAACTCCCTTGTTCTCCCAGTGTCCATCCTATATCCTGAATCTCCTGCTTAATGTCTTGGAAGAGTGCAGCCCTCAACCACTTTCCAAAATCTTGGGGTTCCCTCCTCTGCTCCCCCGCCATCAAAATGAATTGCCCACTCCTGGTCTAGTGGATATAGTTCAGTGAGAGTCAATAACAGAAAGCTGCAGCCGGAGAATTTCAGGCTAGAGAGGAGGCACAAATATTTGATGGGTAAGAAGATTAGCTGCTGAAACAAATGAGCAAAGAAGTGGTGGGTTCTCCCATCTCTTGATGTTGTTGGGATTTTGTGGTTCCCAGAGAGTCAGGTGCTGGGCAGAATCAAGGGTCTTCGATACTTTCAATTCAATTCCATTCAACAAGACCTTATTCAGTGTGCACAAAGGGAGAGCTCCTGGTAC